CGGCCCCCCATCCCCTCCGGTCTCCTCCGTCCCTTGCCACACTCCCCACCTTCCCCTGCGCTTGCTGCGCACTCCAGCCCCTCTGGTCCGCGCTGGGCACGCGTCCTCTCCCACCTCCCCTGCACTGCACCCTCCGCAGCACCTGACAGGCACCCTGCGCTCCCTGCCCCTCTGGGTCCTGCGCCCTCCCGGTGCCTCTCAGACTGCCTTCAGCCCTCTCCTTCCCCTTGCACATTCCTTATCCTTACTCCTTGGTCTCCATCCGGCCTCCCAGCCGCCCCATCCTCTGTGGCCCCTCCCTAGCACCCCCATCCTTCCCTGGTACCCTGCCTTTGCCAGCCTCTGCCAGAAACACCACTCTCCCATGTCCCTTGACCCCCATTCTCTCTGCCATCTCAGAATCTGCCCCTCAGCCCTCCCTGGCTCCTTGGACTGGTTTTCTCTCTCCTCACCTATCCCCGGGGCTGGCTTTGGCCCACCCCTCCATGCATCTTTCCTTTACATTCGTTCCAGATAACTTATGAGTTTCTTCCATGGCCTTTGGCTATATACTCCCACCACAGATTGCCTAGCTATCTTCTCATTACCTTCAGGGTCCTTCTAGGGTCCCCTTGGTCATCTCTCCACTCTCAGACCCTCTCTTCTTGCTTCTCCCCGTTGCCTGGGTCCCCAGGCAATCTTTCCTCAAACATCTTTGGACCTCTTGGGCCTTTCACTCTCCAGCACTTTCCTTAGCTTCTCCAGAGATTCTTTTCCTTCCTCAGTCTCCTCCTGTCCCCTACCAGACATCTCCCAAGCCCCTCTCCGCCACCCCTTAAACTGGCTTTCTTTCCCCCCCTCAACATTTGAATCATCCCTCTGGCCTGTTCCATGGCAGGAACAGCTATTAGTGCCTCTTTATTTTTCAGGCGAGTCCAGAGTACTTTTGTATGACAGGTCATGTTTACCCCTGTGAGTTTTAACCTCTTCATATCCCCAGGATTGGCCCATGTGGTACCTCCAGTTTATGGATGAAGAGGGGATGCCTGCTATTTTACTAGGGTCACATATTTATATCAGAAGTTTTCCACCCTGCCCTTGGTCTCTAGCTCCAGCCACCTGCTACGTGATTCCTTGCATGCACGCATGTGCACACATGCACACACACCCCCCGTGCTGTATGAGCTGCACTTCCCCCTCCTAGTTCTCCCCATCTTTTGTGGTCTTACTTCATTATACAGTATGGTTAAGAGTGCCATCTCTGAAGTCAAGAGACCTGGTTCAAATCCTGGGTCCACCACACACTAACTGTGGGACTTTGGGGCAATTCCCTCACCTCTCAGAGCCTCCGTGTCCTCATCTATACAGTGGAGTTTATAACAGAACCCCCCCCCCCAAGGCTGTCACAAGGGTGGCATGAAGTCACACACATAGCTTTTACCCTATAACAAGAACTTAATGCTGGCTGCTGCTGTTACTGTTGTCTTCGCCAAAAAACCCTTCCCCGGGGCCTATGGTCATGATGAATGAGGCTGCCACAAAGACACTAGCCCCCAGGTAACCTTTCTAGCTGCCAGAGCATGTATCTGCAACCTTGGGTTTCCCCTTGAAGCAAGGTGAGGACTTCCTACCACTTAGCTTCTCCCTTCCGTTGTGAGTCAGGGTAGATACAAAGTTGTGGGATAGTTTAGCAAGCAGGAGCTCTGGGGAGCCCCCAGTGCCCCCCTCCATGGCCCTTGGGCTGAGTTTCAGATCCATGTCGCTGGGCCTGCCCACGGGCGTGTTTTGAAAGTGCTTTTTCCAGTATGCTGCCTGGGTCTTCCCACCAGGGCTGCAGCGAGGGCAGGAGGAAGCGGTGCTTGCCGTGGGTTGGCCCCGTGACCTGCAGTGTGGGATTTGATCAGTTCAAAAGCCGGACCTTCTCTGTGCTGAGTGGGTATCTTCACTGTTGACAGAGGAGGAAGCGAGGACTGGGTTCAGGGAGAGCTTGTGAAACATCTCGTCTCTGTTTTTTGGGTTTTTTTTATATTTTAGAAAGAGAGGAAGGGAGAGGGAAAGAGAAACATCAATGAGAGAGTAATTGATCAGCTGCCTTCTGAACACCCCCTGCTGGGGGTCGAGCCCACAACCCAGCATGTGCCCTGACTGGGAATTGAACGAGATCTCCTAGATCATTGGTCCATACTCAATTGCTGAGCCATGCTGGGTGGGCGAACATCTCATCTTTCTCTCTTCTCCTCCTTACTTGGGGGTGGTGGAGTTGGCAGGAGTGTTTGGGTTTGGACCCAGAGCTCACCTTGGTCTAGATTGGGGTGAAAACTCAGTAGGGAGTTGGCACGATGCGAATGCTGTTGGTGAGGGTGTGGAGGATGAGAGGTGCTCATGCTCTCCTGTTGCTCTGGGGAAAGGCAAAGTGGCTCTCCAGGTCCTTCCTGCTGAGAGTGGTTTTGCTTTGTTTGGTTTGATGGATTATTGCACGGGCCTTCAAGCGGGGCTCCCAGCTTCTGCCCTGCTTCCCACCCCAGATAGTGTACCTTTAATTGTAAGTCAGACCTGAGTCCTCCCTGGCTCTCTGGGTTAGGGCCAGAGTCCTAATAATGGACTTTCTCCTGTCCCCATCTCCTCCTGCCACCCCGGGCATTTCCTTCCAGGCACATAAGCCTCCTTGCACACTCCTGCCCCAGGTCCTTTCACCTTTCGGTAGCCTCCTGGCCTCCTCCCTCCCTCTCTTATGTCCTTCCCTGACCATCCCTATAATGCAGCAAACTAGTCCCTGCCCACATTCCTTTTGCCCTGGCTTATTGTTCTCATCTGATGTACCATATGTATAACTTGTTTTGTTCCTTTCGCCATGAGAGCAGGACTTCATTATCCTCAGTATTGCCTAGAACAGGGCCTAGAATGGTGCTCAAATAAATATTTGTTGAATGAATGGGCAGAGCATTTGCTGGGAGCCCGGAGACTTCAGTCCTGTTACTGGCTGGGTGACCTTGGATCTGTCTATGGGTTTCAGAGTCCCCCTTTGTAAAATCATGTGGCTGAGACTTGGTGTTTCTGAGGGCTCTACTAGTCTCCAACTTCAAGTCTTCTCTATCCCCCGAGAAGTCTGGTTGGACATGAACTGGTTGAGTTGTCCTGTGGGTGAGATGGAGGACTCAGCTCGGTTTGAGGTTCGGACCTGGGGAGCACTGAGATGCTTGGAGCAGAATGTGTCCCGCTTGGAGCCTGTGGCCTTGGCTAGAGCCTCCAATGATGGAGGCTCCAGAAACAGCATGTAGGTTCCCACAGGTTTGCTTCTTGCTATCATGCCAGCTCCTAGAACCTTAGCTGATTCAGGCCTCCCAGCGGCCAGTCATCTCCCAAATGACAGTTCCTCACCCCATGAAGTGCCACTATGGCTCTGAGAGGGTAGGCGGCAGAGAACAGCGGTTAATAATACGGGTGGGCTTCAAAATCAGACCTGTGTACAGGGTGTTCTCCAAGCCAGCAGGGGTCAGGGGCCTGACAGAACTGACTTGGGACACCCACCTTTGGGTAACAGTGTCAGTTGTTGGACCATGTTCTCTCAACGCCCTTCACCTGGTTAATCCTATTCATTCTTTGTTTTTCCTTTTTAATATGTTTTTACTGATTTTAGAGAGAAGAAGGGAGAGAGAGAGAGAAAAACATCAATTGACTGCCTCTTGCATGCCCCCTATTGGCGATCGAGCCCACAACCCTGGCATTTGCCCTGACTCGGAATCTAACTGGGGACCTCTCAGTGCACTCAACCACTAAGCCACACCGGCCCGGGCTAATCCTACCCATTCTTCAGGTTTTCGCTCAGATGTCTCCTTCAGCCAGCCTGTTTTCCTAACTGTTCTACTGCCTCCCCCTCCCCATCACAGCATGCAAAGAGGCCCTGTGTGGCAATTCTCCATTTGCATGTCTGTTCTCACTAGACCATAAGCCTCCTGGAGGGAGCAGGGGACTCTTGTATTCACTGCCAGTGTTCCTGCTTCTTATTGAAGGTGTTGCCTGGCACATAGAAGGCCTCAGTAAATATTTGTGGAGCGAGTGACTGAGTGAACATTGTCATGGATGGTTCATCTCAAGTGACATTCCAATTAATTGGTGGTAGCTGCCTAAAGCTCTGTGTTTAGAAGGATTCTGAGGCTGCAGCTAAGTGTAGGTAGGGGATAAGAGTGCTGGGATCTACTGATCACATCTGCCATGGCTCAGGGCAAAGGTGCAAGGATTAATTAGTGATATCAGGCACTTATGGGGGAGTGGCTGCTGCCTCTGGGAGAGGCTGTATTAAAAAATATATTTGCTTTTCATGCCCATAGTGCTCTCGCAAACATGGTGAACGTTCCTAAAACCCGCCGGACTTTCTGTAAGAAGTGTGATCAGCATCAACCCCACGAGTAATACAATACAAGAAGGGCAAGGATTCTCTGCATGCCCAGGGACAGTGATGTTATGACAAGAAGCAGAGTGGCCATGGTGGGCAGACTAAGCCCATTTTCCATAAAAAGGCTAAAACTACAAAAACGATTGTGCTGAGGCTTGAATGCGTTGAGCCCAACTGCAGGCATAAGAGAGTGCTGGCTGAGAGATGCAAGCATTTTGAACTGGGAGGAGATAAAAAGAGAAAGGGCCAAGTGATCCAGTTCTCAGCTTCATACTTTGTTTTATCATGACAATAAAATCTTTGAGGATAAAAAAAAATGTGGTATGTGCTGGGATGGCAACGCCTGCCTAATGCTGCAGCCCTGTGCCCCAGGGAGCCCTTCGAGTAACTTCTCATCTTTCTCCCCCTCTCTCTAGCTGTCCCTTCCTGGCAAATCAACTGACCCTTGCCATCCCCATCATCGCTGCCATCCTCTTCTTCTTCGTCATGAGCTGCCTGCTACAGACAAGTTTCACCGACCCTGGGATCCTGCCCCGGGCCACCGTCTGTGAAGCAGCTGCCCTGGAGAAACAGATCGGTGAGGCTCCTACTTCAGCCGAAACTGTGTTCCCCAGGTCCACATACCCTGATTTGAGAGGGGGCTTGGTTTTCTCTTCCCACACTAGGCTAGGAACTAGGGGTCAGTAGCGAGCAAGGCAGGCAGGAGCTGACACTAGAATGGAGGAGACAGATGATAAACAAGGAGACAGATAAAGAAGAAATGCTAGCAAGTGAAAGCTGTGATGGCAGCCAGCATAGTCCTGAGTGCTTCCAGGGTGCCAGGCACTGTTTTCACCTCTTTACATGCATGACCTTATTTAATCACCCAGTAATCCTATGAGGTAAGTACTGTTGTTACTTTCCTTTTACTGATTAAATTGAGTCTCAGAGAGGTTAAGTAAGTGGTCCCAGATCACACAGTAAGTGGAAGAGCTGGGATGAGACCCCAGGCAGTCTGACCAGAGCCTCTGCTCTTAAACATTTATTTACACTTATTTATTTACTCATCAAACATTTATTGAGTCCCTACTATGTGCCAGGTACTTTTCTAGATGCTAGCAATACATCAGTAAACAAATTACCAATAATCTCTGCCCTCTTGGAGCTGCCATTCCAACAAAAAGAATAAATCAGCAATAAAAGAAAGATCTAGAATATGAGACAGAAAAGAGGAAATCAGGGTGGTGGGATGAGAGCTGAGGTGAGAGTGATTTTAAATAGGGTGGTCGGGGAAGGCTTTTTAATGAGGTGACATCTGAGCAAAGAAGCAAAAACCTGCGGAGATGAAGGGTTGAGTTGTGGGGATCTGGGGGAAGAGCACAGTAGGGTTGGGGAGTGGGCTAATTTAGATTACCCGGTCGTAAGGGGCCTCTAGGAGGAGGTGGCACTTGAGTTGAGCCCTGAATAGTGCAATGGAGCCAGTAATATTCGGTCTGAAAATAATAATAACAGAAGCCTAGAGTTGCAAACAAATTGGTGTGTTTGAGGAATAGCAGGAAGGCCAGTATGGCCAGAAAGGACCTGTGCTGCCAGGCACCCTGCATGGCCCTTGATTCCTCACAGTGTGGGTCCCCCTGGATGGCTGGGCAGTGGGGATCAGGGTCTTAATCTCAGCTTGCTCCACCGCAGCTCCTTCCTGCTGAGAAGTGACATCAGTGTTTGTACACCTCACGGTTTCCGGTTCGTGGTTGGCTCCTTCCCCTAACAGGGTGGCTTTCAGACAAGCTTTTAAACACCCAGCCGGCCCTGAAGAAACCTAGTGGCCTGTAAATGGCAGAGCCCTGCTGCACCCATCACGGGAAGTCATTCAACTAATTCTCTGCAGCAGCTTGGGAGGGTGGTAGGAGGAGAGAGGATGTTCTCTCTCTCTTTGTCTGTTCTTTGTCTCATCCTCTGCCCAGGCCCATCCTCAGCCACGCCCTTGGTTGCTGTCTTCCTCTGCCTGTATCCAGCTTCCTTCCCTCTTGCACCCCTGGCCACTCTGCCTGGGTTCTGCCCTGTCAGAACCCCAGGGTCTGACCTGGGCCAGTCTGCCTCGCAGCAGGGAGGCTCAGCTGCAGTTCCCTTTCTCCTCCCTCCTGGTCAGGGCTAATTAAGAGGCAGGATTATTGTCCAGTGCAGCCTGGGCTCAGAGGCCTGGCTGCCTGGAATCCTCTGCCTCCTGTGAGCTGTCTGGGTAATACAACAGTAATCCCCCATGTTTGGGGAGAGCTTGACCGTGTGCAGAGAGCTTCCCATCCATTATCCCCAGAAATCCTCACAACAGCCAGCTGTGCCAATGCAGAAACTGAGGCAGGTGATCACAGGCCAGAGGGTGGAGGAGCAGAGATGGAATGTGTGTCTTGATTCCCAAACCCCTTGCTTTCTCTTCTGAGATGGCCACAGCCCCTTATCCTTATGTCTCAGCTCAAGTTTCCTGTATTCTGGGAAGCCTTCGTGATGCCGGTTGGGCCACACCTTCCATGACACATTCCCAAAGCACCTTCTCCTGCCATCTTGGCCCTGTGCTGCATGGTGGTCATTACAGAATTGTCTGGCAGGCCCAGTAGCCTTTCCTAGATAGTGAGTGTCTTGTTCACCTTGTCAGCCACATGGGTAGCTGAGTGACTTTGGCTCAATGTTTGAGCCTCCTTGCTGTCCCCATGTGACTGGTGGAGAGACTGCTGGAACTTCTCCCAATTAGGCATTACAGGTTTGCTCATTTGTGTGTTAGATCATTTACGTGTTGATTCTACATGCTGACTCCTAACTGGGGGCGGGGGAGGGGCAGGTAGGCCTGACTGGCCACCACAGGTCAGACCAGGCTCTGGAAGAGAATCAGGGAAACCAGGAGTATCTTCTGTCTGGAGGATATGGGAGGCCTCATGGAGAGGTGCATTGAGCCAACCGTAAGTTTGGGTGGAGTTTAAGCACAGGAAGATGTGTGAGGAGAGCCCTCTAGGGTGGAACAGAAGGAAGAGAGGAAGAGTGGGAGGAAGGGGGACAGCCGTGGGGCCCTGATCAGGCCATGTTGGCTGGAACATGGGGAGTACCTCAGAGAATTTGGGAGAGTCTTTGGAGGATGGGGTGGAGGCAGTCTTATGGGCCTACGTGTCAGGGTTGGAGACTTTCCTTTGAGAACAGCTGCCAAGCCTAGAAAGTGGCGTCTTTGGGGGCTTTGAATTCTCAAAGTTTAACAGGAGGCTTCCAATCAGGGTGAAACACTTTCTTGAAAAGGACTAATGTCACTGAGCCTTTTTGAGGAGATTGGGGGCTGGCTCTGAGGTGGTGGCGCTGTTCATATAAATGTGAACTGATTACCTGGACGTGGGTCCATGCAGGCTGTGAGCTTCTCCCTTTGGCCCCATAGACTAGCAGCCCCAGCCCCAGCCCAACAGGATCTGGCCCAGGGCTCCCTCCCCACAAGTACTGTCTGAGATTGGATGACCAGGGCCTCACAGTTTTCTCAGGACTGTCCCTGTCCCAGTCTCGTGTCTTGGGGAACCCCTTAGCTACAGGCAAACCAGGCCCTTGGTCACCCTGGTCTGAGAACTTGACTTGTCAGCTGGCAGGCCATGTAGCTAGATCACCCTGCAGGGCCACACAGAGTCCAGGTGCACTGGGCAGTTGGGAGAGAGGTAGGAGGTTTGGAACATTGGCCCATAAAGCTCCTATTGTGATGGGAGACGATAGAAACATCTAAATTTGATTCACAGACACTCATCTAGACAGCCACAAACTCACAGGACAGACACGAAGGCCTCCTCTTCCTCTACCAGCACATAGCAGGTCACAAACCTCATTCTGTCTCCAGGATATCTCCCCTCAGGTCCTTCCACAGCCCCAGGACTGACTGCACCCCGATTGGCTCTGCTGACCAGGCCTGGATACCTGGCCTCTCCCTTCAATCATGGTTGTCTCTCCAAGACTCAAATTTGACCCCAGCCCTCCATGGCTCAGAATTTGGGTGACTTCCTAGCACCCTCATCAGCATTTTCTGAAGATCAGTCATTGGAGTACAACCTTTGTGACTTTTGCCCTTTCTGCATCTCTCCTTGTACCTTCATTTCTTTAGTGTTTTCCCCCAAATGGCTTGCTTTTAAATGCAGTTTACAAAGAAAATTTATATCACCCCTGTTAGCAGAAAGCCACTTGTTCTGCATAGAAGATAATTATAAAAACGAAAACATAACAATGTTACGGAATTCTTGGTGGTTGCAGTTTCCTGCTGAAAGCGGCTACTTTGAGGCCTGTGGGGATCACAGATATTAGGTATTAAAAGTGGAGACTTTCACCCGGCCGGCATGACTCGGTGGTTGAGCATCAACCTATGAACCAGGAGGTTGAGGTTCGATTCCTGGTCAGGGCACATGCCCAGGTTGCGGCCTTGATCCCCAGTAGGGGGTGTGCAGGAGGCAGCCCATCAATGACTTTCTCTCCTCATTGATGTTTCTCTCCCTCCCTTCCTCTCTCTGAAATCAATGAAAACATATTTTTAAGAAAAAGAAATGTGGAGACTTTCCCTTGATGGAATGAAAGGCTTGAAAGAGAATTGAAAAGGGAATAACTTTGCCTTCCTCTTTCTGCCATCTTGGAGCCCATGGAGGCCTGCAGGGAGCAGGGCTTCTATAACAAACATGTCTGGAAGGCTGTCGTCCAAGGCCATTTTGCTGTCTATAAGCAGGGTCTCCAGAACCAGAGGGAGCACACAGCTCTTCTTAAAATTGAAGGTGTTTGTGCTCAAGATGAAACTGAATTTTATCTAGGCAAGAAGTGTGCTTATATGTACAAAGCAGAGAACAACACAGTGACTCCTGGTGGCAAACTGAACAAAAACAGAGTAATCTGGGGAAAGGGAACTTGGACTCATGGATAGAGAGGCGTGGTTCATGCTAAATTCCAAAGCAACCTTCCTGCTAAGGCCAGTGGACACAGAATCTGTGTAATGCTGTACCCCTCAAGGATTTAAACTTACTGAAAATGAAATAAATACAATGGATTTGTTTGTTTTTAAAAAAAGGAATTAACCTGACCATCACATGATTCAAGGTTGCTTAGTGTCATGGCCAGGAAACAAACTGTCTTCCACTTTCCTGAAAACTCACCTGTCCACAGAGGTGCACTTGCCTTCAGGATCAAGGCAAGCTCCAGCCCACCCTTCCCCGCATCTCCTGCCAGTCACTCTCCAGTGCCCCCAACCATGCTCTGCAGCTAGTGCCTCTGTGCCTTTGCTCACTGCCATGCCCTCCTCCCCTGGCGGACCCGAGGAATCGTTCTTTCTGATCCAGCTTAATTACCACTTCATCTTTTGTTGCATTCTTGAATGCTTCCTCCTGCCCTGCCCCGCATATTTCCCTCTGTATTCTCACAATAATGACTCTAGACACCAGTAATACCATTAACTGACTAGCTACGGGTTAGACTTTTCCATTATGTCATCTCTAATTTGCATCACCACTCTACAAGGTTGATACTATTAGCCTCAGTGAGGAAACTGAGGCTCAGAGAGGTTGAGCAACTTCCTCAAAGTCACAAGCTAACAAGTGGCCAAGGTAGATT